TATACTTCTGCAGGTCGTTGGTCTGGCCCATTTCCCTTGCCCCAAGTGCACACAGTCCCGTGCGGTACTTGCTTGACTGACTGGGGACTGGGACTGTTGACTCAGCAGGGTGGACTTCCCTCACTTGCCTACTTGCCTCACCACTTGACCACTTGCCTCTGCTTAAACATGGGCACTCACGAAAGGCCACTACTGGGACCTTCCGGAAGGCCGTAGACTTGGCCTTTCGTGACTGTAGCAGCTACGACTCTGACCCTTCTGGACTGTAGCAGCTATAACCTTGACCTTTCGAGAATACTACAGCTACGATGTCTAGACCTGACTAAGACTTCGATCCGACAGGTCTACAGATCGAACCTATGCTACCTATGGACCCTACGACAACCTATCAGCTATTACAAATACACAGGTCGTGGGTTCAATTCTTCGGGTCGACACAGGTACTGTACACAGGTAAGGTTGGGGTCTAGGGATCGAACCCTGGGATCTGCATCAGCTACTGCTAACTGGTGAATATCGTTTCATGTGCGACATTGGTCGCCATACGCTCGTACTTCGGGAAAGCTTCTGCCGTCATCTTTCGGCATCGTAGTGTAGGCTAGATAGGATCTGCCACATGTAGTCTGGGCGCCGAGCGCCAGATAGGATATCAACTCTGGTTCTTCATTGATGATGATGGGTCTATTTCAGCATTGTCAATTATGAACTCTTGGTGTGTTCTTATTTGGTGAATCTCGTGATGCAATTCTGCTGTTGGTTCGAGGTCAAGACTATCTGGACTCGTATGTATGTATGATGCTGTTTGATTGCTGAAGTTCGCTATTGCTCATCTTCCTTGGACTCGCAAAAAATGTCTGAAAATTTCTGATAGTAGCATTTCGTTTTATCTGAAAAATTCTGATATTAGCATTTCAAATATCTGAAAATTTCTGATAGTAGCATTTCGTTTTATCTGAAAATCTCTGATATTCGCATTTCGTTCTAAATAGCCAAAGATTTCTGATATTAGCATTTCGTTTTCTAGGCATATTGGGATAATGGCGGAGGTTGTCATATTCTCGGAGACTGGATTTATTCTTCTCTGAAAGTGAAACTCCAGTCTATTTCGGGCAAAATCGTTTTTTTTTCAAGATCGCATTTTTTTTGAAAGCCGAAACTTTGCGGAACCTTGCTAGATCTTGCTCATAGTACGCCTCTGAAATGCCTCACTCAAAGCAGATCGACAGATACACACAAAAAAAAAAGGGGGGGGGGTGATCCTCTTCTTTTATTTTATTTTATTCTGTTGATTAGGACCGGGAGGAAAGTATATTTTGGTTGGTTACCTACCTGTGTTTTCCCTCCCACCCAACCCTTTGCCTGCATTCCCGGTTTGGTACAGTGCCACGTCAGCAGTGCCACGTCAGCAACAGTGCCACATCAGCAAAAGTGCCATGTCAGCAGTGCCACATCAGCAGTACCATGTCAGCAGTACCACGCCAGCAGTGCCACGTCAGCAGTGCCACGTCAGCAGTGCCACGTCAGCAGTGCCCGACCACTATGACGGTCTCAGTTCTGGGCATGCCAGGGCAACTGGCCAATCAGTCCATTGTCGAGTACCGACAACGGTTCCAAGCTCAACTCGCACTGATCGAGGCTGAGGAACAGCGTCAGGCGGCAGCCGAGGCTGCCCGCCTACAGGCTGAAGCAGTGGCAGTAGCTGAAAAGCAGCGACTTCAGGCCAAAGCTGACGCAGATGCCCAGGTCCGCCTCAAGGAGGCCTAGGATCTGCTACAGCGACACGGAGCCGCCAGCATTGAAAAGCTCAAGTTCTGGCATTTTGAACCATCTGAGAACCACGAAGACGCGACACCGAAAAAGCGGCACAAGGAGTTTCTTGCCATACTTGTGACCCGGTTGATTTACACTTGTAACCACCATTAGTCCGAGCTGGCGAATCTCCAACGGGGGGTGTGGAACCACAAGGATCTGCACGAGGATGCTACATGGGCACTTGATTCCCGTGTATAGGACTTGGAGCAAGTTGCACCAAGACCAGATGCTGGCGAGTCCAGCAGTGCAACGTCTACCCTCCAATYGGAGGAACGAGTTGACCACMTAGTCGCAACACTAGCACCTTCGCCGCACCAGCCACCATCAGCAAGCAGTTGGACAYCTTGAAGACCGAGGTTCARCAACTGCACCAGCTGCCCAATAAGGATGGCRACACCAGTGCGCAGCACWACAAGATGCCGACATTCCGCAKCGAAAAGTTCTATGATTATACACATCAAGACCCGGTCCCCCGGTGGGAGGGCTTTACGACGGAACTTCGGATTCTTTTTGTCCACTCGTACATCGGTGCGTTGTTCCTCAACTCAAAGGGCGGATACCAGATATGGCTCARCCACSTCGCAACCATCCACGGCGTCSAGGTCGCCGATCTACATAAAAAGATCTCTTGGGAARAKTTGACGAGGCTATGGAAGAAGCGGTTCATCGTGGATGATGCCCCGACGCTCGCCATCAACCGCCTCTTCGCCATGACCCAAGAMAACACACCGACACGCGACTGGCTCACGGAATGGCAAAAGATTGTGGCAACGCCTGATCTCGAGTTGCCATTTTCGCATCTGCGTCGGGAGTTCTACAACCGGTCATGTGCCGCCTTGAGCCTCACACTTGGTGATCGCGAGCAATACACCACCTTCGCCGAAATCATCGACAAGGCAAGGGAGATTATCAAGACCAACAGGGCGGCTGAACACGAGAAGTCGGCGTGGCAGCCAACCTATGTGGAGAAGGGAAAATGTGGTCCGCGTCCGCAGCATGTCGCTGCTGTCCAACCGGACAACATTGTGGAAGATCCAGCAGCCACCCAAGCATCACGTGAGGGAGATCAGGTAGCCGTTGTCCAGCTGCGAAGCAACAACAACGCCTGAGGAAAAGGGAAGGCAAAAATCACATCGCCGGCCGGAAGCAGACAACCAGTACCATGGGTCAAGTTTCACTTGAACGAGTTCGAATACAAGTGGCGCGAATGGTAGCTGCTGCTATTGGTGCAATATCACCAAGCACAAGACCTCCCAATGCCCGGATCAAGGCAAGAAGGATGTTCGGCCTTGCATCAACTCAAGAAACTGAGTTGCGCGGGAGGTGAGGCGACTCCACCTCTCACTCTGCCAGATTCACCCGCCTTGCTAGCGGCCTCCTACACATCGGGGGAGGATGCGAATGTCGCGAGTCCTTGGTTCACTTACGAGGATTACATTGTTCACTTGGTCCCACCGTTGGACCAACAGCTCCACGTGCAACAATCCAACGCATGCACGGTTTCACCACCATCGGCAACCAATTTGGCAGCTTCACCGCCATTTATCACCGGGGATTCGACGTCATGGTCAAGACTTGAAGAGCTCGACCCGTTGACGTCCACGGACTTCCAATGGACGCCCCTTTCCCCGTCCGGTCGATTGCCGGAACCGCATTCCAACGTGCTCATGGCACAATTGCGGGATTACTTGCACATTGCAGTACCGGCTCGGTTGATAGACACCGGAGTATCGGTTGTTGACCTTCACGACTACGTTGCGAAGATCGATCGCGAGTTCAAGACACAACGGTACGACGACATCGACGCGTCATTGTTGTACATGCGCGTTCAGATCGGAGAGGCGACCTGCAGCGCTTTGATCGACTGCGGAGCTACTCACAATTATATCAGCCAAGACTGTATGGTACGCGCTGGCCTTGGGCCACGCGTTCGGAGGAATTCACAGCCTACGCGAGTCACGTTGGCCGACGGTCAAACACACAAGTCAATCGACCGATGCATTGAGTCCGTCCCCGTGTACTTCGCTCCGCATGCAATCGAGGCCGTGTACTTCGACATTTTGGACAGTCAATTTGACATGATCTTGGGCATGTCATGGCTGCGAAGCGAGGATCACCCGGTGAAATTCTACCGCCGCACCGTTCATGTTCGTGATCGGAACGGAGTACTAGTCCCATGCACAGTGCCTCCTTCTCACCCTTTAATCAGCTGCCACGTGGTGTCCGCCGCAAGCATTCGAGCTTCTATCACCAGGGATGACATCGAGGAGATGAGGGTGTGTTTTCTCCACGACCCCCTACCCCATGACATTCCATCGATGGACTCATCACCGGACCCACGCATCACCGAGCTTCTCGACGCCTACGGCAACGTGTTCGAAGCCCCGCACGGAGTAGTACCGGATCGCCCCATACGCCACGAGATCATCCTCGAGGTTGGGGCCATACCTCCGTGTGGTTGCACCTACCGCATGAGCGAAGCTTAAAAAAAAATATTTTGAGAGATAATATTATATTTTCAATTCATAATTCAATAAAAGTATGCTACGGGCACAACTCGACGACCTTCTCGAGAAAGGCTGGATTCGGCCTAGCTCTTCGCCATACGGTGCTCCCGTTCTCGTCCGGAAGAAGACCAAGGATTTGCGGTTGTGCATCGATTATCGCAAGCTCCATGCACGAACCGTCGAGAACGGCGGCCCTCTTCCGCGCATCGACGACCTCCACAAATGGCTGGGCGGCGCCAAGTTCTTCTCCAAGCTTGACCTCGAATCGGGATATCACCAACTCGAGATCCGGCAGGAGGACCGCTACAAGATTGCGTTTAAGACGCGATATGGGCATTTCGAATGGTCGGCTATGCCTTTTGGCCTTACGAACGCCTGGCCACATTCCAAGCGGTTATGACAATGGAGTTTCGACACATGTTGGATAAATTCGTACTCATCTACCTCGACAACATCTTGGTGTACAGCCGGAGTTTGGACGAGCATGTGGAGCACCTACGCACCGTTTTGGAGCGGCTACGACAAGCCAAGTACAAAGCCAATTGCGACAAATGCGAATTCGCGCGGCAAGAGCTGGAGTACTTGGGACATTATGTGACGCCGCAAGGCATCCGTCCGCTTGCGGACAAGATTGACGCCATCCGCGTATGGCCCGAGCCCACCAACACCACGAAAGTTTGCTCATTCATGGGGTTGGCGGGCTACTATCAACACTTCATCACCGGGTACTCGAGGATTGCCACACCATTGATGAGATTGCAATCGCCAAAGGTGCCATTCGTACTCGATGACGACGTGTGCCGGTCATTCCAAGCACTCAAGACGGCCATGCTCATGGCACCCGTCCTTAGCATCTACGACCCCACCCTGCCAACGAGAGTGACAACTGACGCTTCCGGCTATGGCATTGGGGCAGTCTTGGAACAACACGACGGTGGCGACTGACACTCCGTGGAGTATGTCAGCCACAAAGTGCCTCACATCAATTCACTTGATGATGCTAGGAAGGAGGAGTTGCTCGCGTTCGTGATGGCTCTCAAGCGATGGCGACACTTCCTCCTTGGGCGTCGTAGGTTAACATGGGTCACTGACAACAACCCGTTGACCTACTACAAGACGTAGGATACAGTGAGCAGCACGATCAGACGATGGATGTACTTCATTGACCAATTTGACTTCCCACCGAAACATCTCATCGGCCTCTCCAATCACGCAGCAGATGCACTCTCGCAATGACCCGGCCTTTGCGCTATGACACATCATGCCTTTGTGTTCGATGAGGAACTCCAGCAACAGTTCATCTGGGGCTACGAGTCCGATCCGGATTTCGCCCCGTTGTATGTGCAGCTATCTTCGGATCACCCACCGGCCAGCCACTATCGCATCGTCGACGGGTACTTGCTCCTCCACACTTGCGAGGCAAGGACTTATTGTGTGTCCCACGAGACAGTCGTCTTCGGACTCGCCTTCTCGGCGAGTACCACGACTTGCGACTCGCGGCAATTTCGGAGTCAATCACACTATTGCACGATTTTGGCAATGATTCTGATGGCCCGACCTCATTTCCAATGTCATGCGGTATTGCGATTCTTGCGAAGTTTGCCGACGAAGCAAGCCCCGTAACCGCAATCCCTACGGCGAGTTGCGCCCAATGCCTATCCCACGGGAACCCGGCCTCTCTATTGCCATGGACGTCACCGGTCCGTTTCCCCGCGACCGCCTCGGGCACGACGACATCCTCACGGTCGTTGACCGTTTGTGTAAGTACGTGCGGTTTCTCCCTTGCAAGTACTACGCTACGGCTCCCGAACTTGCGTGCCTCGGCGTGTTGGAAGACATTGCCAGTGACCACGACACTCGTTTCATGTCGACATTCTGGACTTCTCTCATGAAGGAATCTGGCACCAAGATGAAACCAAGTTTGGCTCGGCATCCACAAATGGACGGGCAAATGGAGCGGGCACATCAAACCGCTCAAATGATGCTTCGTACGCTCATCTGTCCGGATCAGAAGGATTGGGCTAACCACCTCCCCGACGTCGAGTTCGCCTACAACACTTCGTTGCATCCGACGATCGGCGTGACTCCATTGGAGTTGCACCATGGTGGCCGGAAAGGCCGTATCTTCGCTGATCTTCTCCTCCCACGAACAGCCGACATAGACATTGCTTGCTCCCCCTCTTCCGTTCGGAAGTACAGGGAATTGCTGGCTCAAATCCGCGCGAAATTGCAAAAGGCTCAAGTCCGCATGCAGCAGCAAGCCCATAGGTGTCACGTGCCATGTTCCATCCGCGCCGGTGATCTGGTTTGGGCCTCCACGGAAGAGTACTCGAGCAGGGTGTTTCGTGCAAACTGCTTCCCAAGTGGTTTGGACCAGGGCCCGTAACATCAGCCGCGAGCGATGAGCCCGATGGCCCCTCATTTGTGATTAACATCCCCCCTCATCTGACGGTCCATCCAGTCTTTCATGCCTCGAAGCTGGCAACATATACACCAACTAAGATCGACGACTTCCCGGGCGGACGATCGCAAGACCCTCCATCTATGGATGGTCGTCAGGAAGTTGACCGCGTCATCATGGATCGCAAGTACGGCAGCAAGCCTCGACAGTACAACGTTACTTTCAAAGCATGCGATCCCGACGACACTCGATGGATTTTAGGAGCAGATTTGAAAGCATACGCACCGCTGATCTACGCTCACGACGAACGGCAAAGGTTAGCTAAGGGTGCTTCACGACCTGCCCCTCCCACCCGGACTTTGGTCCCTCCCTCAGACAGACAGCTCCGCCCTCGCAGGTAAGCTTGGTCTTTGAAGGAGGGGGGGGGTGTGGCATACTGCGCAGCCACACGGGCCTGCAGGGCCCRACCAGCGTTCTCAGCCTAAAAGCCTGAAAACAAGGGCCTACAGGCCCTGTGTCGTTTCAGCCTAAAAGCCTGAAAACAAGGGCCTACAGGTCCTGTGTCGTTTCAGCCTAAAAAGGGCCCTCCAGGCCCCGAGTCTTTTCAGTCTGAAACGGAGGGCCATTTTCAGGCCATCATAAGATCGACCTGCCCTGAAACTTAGGTACCAGGGTCTTAGCACAGGCCATTTCGGGCCTGTTTACCCTTGTTTGAACTTCAACACCAGGGTCTGGAATGTTTTAGCATTGGCAAGAGCAGCCTCCTGGACGGGCCATACTATATAAGAATGGCCCGCCCTGCAGGCTGCAGGTAGTCACGAGGCAGTACATAGGAACTTCCCAGGCACTTCATGTGCAGGAGGCAGGAGGTAGTCATTAGGAGCGCTGCAGGAGTAGTAGTAGCGTTAGCAGTAGTCTTCAGCGTTGGGCGCTAGTAGGAGAGAGAATAGCGTTGCAGAGAGAGAGATATGGTTGGCGGAGGCCAGGGAGACTTACCTGTGGCGCCATAGCTCCAGCTTCGTCTTCGATGTACCAGCAACAACGCCCCACCTTTACAGGTTAGTACTGGACTCAGAGAGAGAGAGAGAGAGAGAGAGAGAGAGAGAGAGAGAGAGAGAGTGTCCACCATCTCTTCCTGCAACAAGGCGCTACCTTTACAGGTTAGTACCGGACTGAGAGTGTTGCATACCGTATGGGTGCAGACCAGAACAAGAACCGACCTTTCAATACAAAGTATAAGATAGCACAGCGGAAGACTTAGATACTAGTGATCCGAACAATCAATGTGGTAATGCAGCCCTGAACATACATCATCATCATCGTTTCATAGTGTGAATGGGTCTGGCGCTTCACATAGGAAGACAGCGCCAGCCCAGAACATGCACAGACGAGGAGGAAGGGGATAGACGAAGAGGAGG